ACATGCCCTTGACCGGAATTGAACCTGGGACCCTTCAGTCCGCAGGCCGACGCTCTATCCATTGAGCTAAACTGGTCAGGGCACTATTGATTTCTCTTTATCTCTTTTCACTTCTTTGTGGGGTTCAGAATTCCCTGTGGAATGCATAGCGGCCAAGGTCCCGATGAGAAGGTGTTTCAGCACCACGGACAGCATCTCGCGGCCTTACCCCACATTCTCTAGCAAGGACTTAGTCTTTGCGGGTGTGCGGGGTGTCTCCGTTTCTGCCTTTGCAAAATAAGACAAGCCCTGCAAGGTGCAGGGTGGTCCATGAAGGTGACACAACATAAAGGGTGCAGATGTGTCCAGTATATAGTGGCTGCTTGGCCACTGGGGGCTTCCTTCCTCTTCTTCCTGCCCAGTGGGTCCTGGAGGCAGAGGGATGGAAGGGTGCCTCTGAGGAAGCCATAAGGCCTGCTTACCCGTCAGGTAGCTGATGAGGGCTCCACATAGCACGGTGCTCAGTGTTCCCAGGGCACCATAGTACAGATAGGAGATGGCGTAGAAGCTGTCAGCCAAGGTGGGTGGACCAGGGTCCATTCTGGGGGTGGGAGAGACGAGCCTGAGTCTAGAAGCCACTCTCAATCCATTCCCTTCCTTTCATTTCACTGCCACAGCCTAGCCCAGTCCTCCATTATTGCTCACCCAGATGTGTGCAGTAGCCAAATACTTCTCTCCCACTATCCTGCCCTCAGCTCCAGGCTTTTTCCTCACACAGCCAGAGGGAGTGTTTCCAAAACGTAACTCAGATAACCTCCTGCCTCTGCTCGTTGCCCTCTGTGGCTCACTACTGTCCTCAGGATAAAACCATATTAAACTCTTAGAAGAAAACATAGGTGTGAGGACCTAAATAGACACTTTTTGAAAGAGGACATTCAGAAAGCCAAGAGGCACATGAAAACATGCTCAAAGTCACGAATCATCCGAGAGCTGCATCAAAACAACAATGAGGTACCACCTCACACCTGTCAGAATGGCTATCATCAACAAATCAACAAATGACAAGTGCTGGAGAGGATGTGGAGAAAAAGGAACACTTGTGCACTGCTGGTGGGAATGCAGACTGGTGCAGCCACTATGGAAGACAGTATGGAGTTTCCTCAAAAAACTGGAAATGGAACTCCCATTTGACCCTGTGATCCCACTTCTAGGAATATATCCCAAGAAACCAAAAACACCAATCAGAAAGGATATATGCACCCCTATGTTCATAGCAGCACAATTCACCATAGCTAAGATTTGGAAACAGCCTAAGTGCCCATCAGTAGATGAATGGATTAGAAAACTGTGGTACATCTACACGATGGAATACTATGCTGCTGTAAAAAAAGAAGGAATTCTTACCATTTGCAGCAGCATGGATGGAACTGGAGAGCACTATGCTAAGCGAAATAAGCCAGGCAGTGAAAGGAAAATACCACTTGATCTCACTCATTTATGGATAATAAAGAACATTATAACCTAATGAACAGAAAGATAGATACAGAGGCAGAGAAGCATCAAACAGACTGTCAACTTACAGCGGGAAGGCTGAGGAGTGTTGGGGGGGTAAGAAATCAATTGAAGGACTTGTATGCATGCATATAAGCATAACCAATGGACACAAGACACTGGGGGGTGAGGTAAGGGCATGTGCTGGGGGATAGGGGAGGCCGGGGGAAGGTCAATGGGGAAAAAAAGGAGACATATGTACTACTATTGTAATACTTTAAACAAGAAAATAAAATTTAAAAAATAAAACCATAGGTGTGAATCTTTATGACTTTGGGTCTGGCAATAATTACTTGGATATAACACCAAAAGCACAAGCAACCAAAGAAAACATAGATAAATTGGACTTCATAAAAATTAAAAATTCTTGTGCATCAAAGAACACTATCAAGAGAAGAAAAGACAACCCACAGAATGGGGCTGGAAGGAGACTTTACTCTGGGCGGTGAGTGCACGATGCAGAATGCAGATGATGTGTTATTGAGCTGTACTCTTGAAACTTGTATGGTTTTATTAACCAATGTCACCCCAATAAATTCAATTAAAAACCTAACACTTGCCCTAGCCGGTGTGGCTCAGTGAATAGAGCGTCGGCCTGTGGACTGAAGGTCGTGGGTTCAATTTCCATCAAGGGCACATGCTTGGGTTGCGGGCTCGATCCTCAGTAGGGGGCATGCAGGATGCAGCCAATCCATGATTCTCTCTCATCATTGATGTTTCTCTCTCTCTCTCTCTCTCTCTCTCTCTCTTTCTCTCTCTCTCTCTCCTTTCCTCTCTGAAATCAATAAAAATATATTCTAAAAACAAAACAAAAACCTAACACTAACACACACACACACACACACACACACACACACACACACACACACACACACAAAGACAACCCACAGAATGGGAGAAGATATTTGCAAACCACACATTTGATAAGGATCTAGTATCCAGAATATATAAAGATATAAAGAATATATAAGTTACAACTCAACAATAAAAAGACCCAATTTAAAAATGAATGAAGAATTTAGCCCTAACCGGTTTGGCTCAATGGATAGAACGTCAGCCTGCAGACTGAAAGGTCCCAGGTTCGATTCCGGCCAAGGGCATGTACCTTGGTTGCGGGCACATCCTCATTAGGGAGATGTGCAGGAGGCAGCTGATCGATGTTTCTCTCTCATTGATATTTCTAACTCTCTATCCCTCTTTCTTCCTCTCTGTAAAAAATCAATAAAATATATTTTAAAAAAATAATAAAAATGAATGAAGAATTTAAATAGACATTTCTCCAAAGAAGGTATACTTATGGCCAACAAGCACATGAAAAGATATTCAACATCATTTGTCATTAGAGAAATGCAAATCAAAACCACAATGAGATACCTCCTCACACCCACAGGGTGGCTAGAATTTTTAAAAGAGGAAACGGATGAGTGTTGGTGGAGAAATTGGAACTCCCAGACATTGCTTGTGGGAATGTGAAATGGTGCAGCTGCTACAGAAGACAGTCTGGTGGCTCCTCAAAAAGCTAAACATAGAATCACCATATGACCCATCAATTCCACACCTAGGTATAGACCAAGAGAAATGAAACGTATGTCCACACCAAAACTTGTACATGAGTGTTCATAGCAGCACTGGTCACATTCACCAAAAAGTAGAAACAACCAAAATATCCATCAGTTGATGAATGAATGGACAAACAAAATTCGGTCGATCCACACAAGGAAATGTTACTCAGCCATAAAGAGGACTACAGCATTGGCAAGCACTACAACATGGATGAACCTGGAAAACATCATGCTGAGCGAGAGAGGTCAAACAGAGAAGACCACACATTGTATGAATCCATTTATATGAAACTAGTGACCCGGTGCACGAAATTCATGCGGGGGGGGGGTGTCCCTCAGCCTGGCCTGCACCCTCTCCAATCTGGGACCCCTCAGGGGATGTCCGACTGCCGGTTTAGGCCCAATCACATAGGTCCCTCTTGCAATCCAGGACCGCTGGCTC